TATCTAGGATTGAAGAACTGCCACAACAACAACAAAAAAGCCACTGAAACTCATTTTGAGAAGAGTAAAAAGTCATCAGATACTGCATTCATTTAACAGCCTCTTACATAGTCTCTGAAATACTGCGGGTGATCTCTGTACTGCCTTCTGTCTTGATACATCCTGGTCACTGCATCTATACAAAAGAATGCCAAAACAGGTTCAGATAAAAGACTTTTCCACGGATATTGCTACCCAAAATGTTTATTAAAAAAAAAAAAAAAAAAAAATGGGGTCTTTGCTACTTTCACTACTTGATCCTTGTGCACTCGTAGGTAATCCAAATGTATTTGATACCAAATATCCTTTGTTCATAGCCATGTCACTGGGACCGAAAACAGAAAAGCAGCACTCACTTTACTTTTCAAATCAAAGAGAAGTAACTACAATTCTAAGCTTCTTTCTGCTACTCCACTTCCAACTTCCCTTCAGCTATATAAAAGGTAACAGAGACATGCTTATCTTACAGGAGACATGCTCTAAGAGATACACAGTCAAGTATTATCTATTTATTCCATAGTTGTCACTGTGGAAGACTTGAAATTGTCCCCATGAAGAGTGAGGGCCTTCAGAAACACAGCTGGAGAACAAATGTGCAACTAAACAACCAAATGCACAGAAACTCTTATATGTGAGGGTCATGTGACAGATTCTGCTGCTAGAGAGAAGAGGGGTGTAAAATTGTTAACCTTCAGAGTGGATTCTCTACTACTGATTCTCAGAACAGAGAATCAGACAGGGAATTGGACTGCACTTAATGAAGAGCGCTACTTTCACAAGCTGAAGGTAGTGGTTGTGGGGAGTTTTTGTCCATTTTGTTTGTTATAGGAAGAGCGTGTGCTACGTTGGCAGGAACAAACACAGATACAGAGGTCAAACGAAGTGCTCATGGAGTACAAAGCACAAATTTCACTCGCAAACATTGGAGATGGAGAAAGATTTTTTTTCACTGCTCTCCTGTAAATGCGACCAACTTTATCCCAAATAATCACACCGTATGTTTCACATACTCAACTTTTCAAATCCCTGGACAAATGAGAAGAGCAAGAGACTCTTACTCAGGCAATGCTGAAAGTCACGTTGCCTCTTCTCAGTTTGCAATGAATTGCAGTGATAATACAATGTAATGACAAATTACTAACATAAAGACATACGACATACTTCACGTTGTCTTATTTCCAAAACACTGAATCAGACGATGAAATGATGGGTAAAGATTCCTCAAACTTGTTTTTTCCTCTCTGCAGTTCTGCTTGAGGAGAATTTATTGCTCATATACCACAAAGAGAAGTAAATTATATACAGAGACTCTCTGGGAGAAGGAGATGCCTTTAGATAATCTGTAAAATAAGAAGATAATTGTGCGTGGCAACTCCTTGCGTTGAACATAACCAGTCAGTAAGTGTGCCTATAAAGAGCAACTGACAGGTTTCAAACAGAATCAAGGGATTTCGTACGTGGATGCAAGTGATGGCTGGAACTTGTTTCTTCAAAAAACTCACTGTGGAGTTGAATTCCTGACAAACAAGACAGCCTCGACAGCAAGTCTGAAATTTCACAATCAGGTTCTCAATGGCCAGCCACAATTGCTCTCAGTTGTATACTATCACAACTCCAGATGTAGTGCTCTGGATTAGTGTTATGGTAGAAAGAAGAGCCAGAAAGAGATACCAGAGACACAGGAAATGGGATGTTACACAGCGCCTTCTGTATCATGCCCAAGAGAAGCTTACAAGTTGCCTTTCGCTAAACAGCAACACCACAGGCCTGTACCCCTTTACCAACAGAATAAATTTTCTGCAATAACACAGACATTTTGACACGCAAAGGTAAGCAGTGCATGGTGAAGTTACAAAGTTTGTTAACCTTACTATAGTCTTAAAGTCGTGTGAAGGACTGAAATGGTGGCAACTTCGACTTTAGAGAAAACGAGTTCATACTCTACCTGTATCTCCTCTCATGACAGCTGTGTGTCATTTTGCACAAATTCAGCCAGTTCATCCCATCCTCCCTCTCTGGTGTGACGGTTGTTATAATAATGATAGCCTCTTCTCACCCAGCATTTCACCCATTCACTGCCATTGCCTTCCAAAAGCAGAAGCAGCAGTGTGTTGAAAGCCGGCGTGTCTCTCTTTCCCACTGTCTTGGTTTTATGATTTTCTGTTATCGGCATTCCTCATCACATCCTCATGTAGTGCACTGGGAGTTAAAGAATTAATGCTTCAGTTCTGGGTACCTGTCCAAGAAGAGAACAGCATCTCCCAGAGGACTGTTTGCTGTTCTGTTACCATTTCTGCTCAGAGGAAAGGATAAGAACTGTTTGCAGATCACAAGACCCCCCTTTTTCATTCGTCTGGCTTGTCTTTGTTGCAGGTGCCATATTGCTTCAGCTTACTTATACTAAGGCCTTTGGTTTTTGGATAGTCATTTTATTTGTTTTATTAGCTCCAATTCTAATCATATGGTATTATATTGTATTACAATGTGTTGTCTTGCATTGTGATATCCTATTTAGTAAATTAGCTTGTTTCTCCTCAGGTCATTGCTGATGTTTTTAGGCGCATCTCCCTATCCTTTCCCCTCTTCTCTTTCCCAGAGTGTGGATCTGTCTGTAGGTCACCCTGCTGGTCACAGAACTGGGGTTGAACCAGCCCTTGAAATGTTGACACCCATATACAAATACTACAGCAAGGAAATACACACACAGAGATTCCTTCCTCCAAGCAAGAGAAGGAATACTTGAGACTCCGATGAACTAATATAAGAACTACCTAAGCACAACACATTCTAGAAGTAGAGAGTATTTTATGATTAACTTTTTATTTTCTCCTGCCTTTTTAAGTTATTATTATTATTTTTTAAATAAAAACTTGAGTTTACAAGGCAGCCTCAATTTCCTGTAACGCAAAATTCTAACAAGAAGACATCCACAGCGCAAAAGAATTCTCCCCAGAGATTTTTTTCTCCTATGGTTTCCATTCTACATGCAATAATCTTGAATTTATTGCACTAACAGTTAGCTATTTGAGGTCCACCTGTTGCCATTTTGCTTCTCTTGACTTCTGCCAATTCTTGCTGGTACATCTCTACACACTCTACAGTGACTCTGTACAGCCCAACATCCGGTGAGTGCAAGGCACTCAGGGTACAGCTGGCATCTCCGTGATCTACTGCTTTGTTAATGGCCAGAATTGCTAAGGAAACTTTGACAACACAAGGAGATGTTACCTGAGCAGTCAAGGGTGCAAGTGACTCACAACAAATGTAAGAGAAGCGCAGCAAGACAATGTACTTTATTGTATCTGCTGTATATAAAATACAAAACCCTGATTAAAAAAGAAGACAACTTTCTGTATATATACAACTTTTTAGTATGGAATGTCCAGCTGTATAGCTTACGGTGCCTGACAACACACAAATTTTGCATGCTTAGTCCTACCTGAACATCCAGAATTCTATGGATCCCAATGAGATGCATCCCAGAGTCCCGAGGAAATGAGCCAATGGAGTCACCAAGCCACTCCCTGTGATATTTGAAAAATTGTGGCAACCAGGTGACCACCCTGGTGACTGCCAAAAAGGCAAAATCACATCCATTTTTAAGAATGATAAAAAGAACGACCCCAGAAATAACCAACCTGTCAGTCTTACCTCTGTGCCAGGAAAGACCATGAAGCAGATCCTGCTGGAAGCGATGCTACAGCACATAAAAGACAAGGAGGTGATACAGGAGAACCAGTATGGCTTCACCAAAGGCAAATCCTGCTTGACCTACCTATGGTCTTCTCTGATGGTGTCACTGCGTCAATGGACAAGGGAAGAGCCACTGATGTCATCTATCTGGACTTGATGACAATGACCTGGCTGCAGGATCTAATCCAAGAGTGGTGGTCAACGTCTTCATGTCTGGATGGAGGTCACCGATGAGAGGTGTCCTCCTGGGGTGCTGGGACCAATACTCTTAAATATCTTCATAAATGACATCGTCAGTGGGATCGAGTGCACATTCAGCAAGTTTGATGATGACAATGAGCTGTGCGGTGCGGTTGACATGCATGAGGAACGGGACGCCACACAGAGGGACCCAGACAGCCTTGAGCGTGATGATGTTCAACAAACCCACATGCGAGGCCTTGCACCTGGGTCAAAGCAACCTCCACTACTAACACAAGCCAAGATACAAAAGGATTGAACGCGGCCCTGCCAAAAATGAGCCAGGGATACTTGTGGATGGGAAGCTGGATATGAACCAGCACTGTGGCCTCGTGACCCAGAAAGCCAAGCCATCAAAAGAAGTGCAGCTAACAGGGCGAGAGAGGTGATCCCACCCCTCTGCTCTGCACTGGTGAGGTTTCATCTGGAGTACTTCATCCAGATGTGGAGTCCTCAGTACAGCAGGGACATGAACCTGTTGCAGCGTGTCCAGAGGAGGGCCGCAAAAATGATCCAAGAGATGAAATCTCTCCTATGAGGACAGGCTGAGAGTGCTGGGGGCTGTGCAGCCTGGAGAAGGCTCCAAAGAGACGTTACAGTGGCCTACCAGTACTTGAAGGGGGGCTACAGGGAAGCTGGAGAGGGACTTCTTCTAAGAGCAGGTAGTGACAGGATGAGGGGAAATGGTTTTAAACTGAAAGAGGGTAGATTTGGACTAGATATCAGGAAGAAATTCTTTACTGTGAAGGTGCTGAGACACTGGAACAGGCTGCCCAGCAAAGTTGTGGGTTCCCCCCTCCATGGAAGCATTCCAGCCCAGGCTGGATGGGGCTTAAGCAATGTGGGCCACAGGGAGGTGTTCCTGAATGTAGTATGGGGTTGGAACTAGATGATCTTAAAAGTCCCTTTCAACCCAAACCACTCTGTGATTTTTGTTTTTCATGAATAAGGACGTTTTAGAAGCTCCACTATTACTGACTTCAGACAGTTGGGGTTTGGGGGGAAAAAAAAAAAAAAAGCACGCCACATCAGGGGTTACCTCATTTAATAGTCTGCATTTCCGATATTTGAGATGAAAATCATGAGAGCAAATGCAAAAGTACGTAGCTATTTTATCAATAGAGGCAGTGTACATAGGCTTCTCAGTATTGTTTTCAGTGTTTCATATGAAGAGGAGATCAAGCCTAAGATTTCTCATCTGTAAGTCCTAGATAGGCTGGCAGAGAAAGAACCTGACACTCTTAGTATGTTTTCTTAGAATCACAGCTTACAGTTACTCAATGTCTTCTGGTCTCACAGGATGGGGCAGAGGTATAATTGATTTCTTCTCCGTATCCCTGGAAAGAGCTTTTCTCATATCTGTGGTAAAGGAAAACAAGAATTTAATTATAACAAGAGTCATTGCACAAAGCTATACCAAGTGAATTTGCTGTTACAGTAAGATCAGCATCTATGTTAACAACTGGAACGTAGCACTGCACAAAATTCAAACGTTAAACTAAAAGAACAAAAACACGACTTAAAGTATCTGCAGAATTGTAGATGTCTGTCCGTGGCCCTTGTATTTCACAATATTCTTCATCGGTCTCTTTCAGCTGAGGATATTCTATGATTCTATCTCAAGTTAAAAAAAATAAACACCATGCCCACAAAAGCTTCTATGGAGGATACTTTACTGGAAAAAATGTGTCTAGAAATAGCAAACAGCAGTTGCTTCAGTTTTGTTAACGGGGTACCAACAATATATTTGAAATGGTCATGTCCTTTACCCTTTTAATTGAAAAAAATCTCTGTCACTGTTGACCATTAACTTTTGTCACATTTTAATCAGGATACCTGGGGAAATAACATTTCAAATCCCTGTTACCAAGGGGGAGAGGGAGACAAAAAAGAGCAGGGCTATTATTTTCCCTAATACCATTAGGGATGGGCCCAGACACTTTGCAGGAGCATACTCTGAAAAGAAGAATCAGGTAAGTAACTATGTTATTTCATCTTACCTATGGAATAAAGTGTCTTTGCACTTGTTAATTGTCTTGTATTTTATTTTGCCACAGACACTATAAGAAGTGCAAACTGCAGGATTAGGTACTTATAAAACTATGTAATCCTCAGCAGGAAAAAAATCTACCAACAGGAGTAAATAAATTTCCATTCAACAATCACCAACTAAATTTTTTCATACTAAAAAAACAAAACAAAACAAACATATAAACAATTCTTGGGATGGTCAGCATCAGAACCTTTCCATTCCACTTGATGCAGAACAAGCACTTACCATAAGCATCTTCGTCTGGCTCCCCGTTGCTAGCAGAGTAGTACTCTAACACTGTCCGGTATACGCTGTAGCCTAGTTGCTTATACATATTTACTGCAACCTGATTTGATACTCTCACAAAGAGATCAACGAAAAATCCACCCTTTCTTTGAAAACAAACAAACAAACAAAGATGGTAAGGAAGAGCAGGTGAACATATTGCCAATTAAAAACCGATAACCTATATTCAGACCAAAAACAAGTCTGATGTGGTGGTGCACGAATCAGACGTCCTCCACAACAACAGACACACTCCTTTAACAAGGAACAAATCCGGTATCATCAGAAATAATTGTGACAGTGAAATGACTAATCTTCCACACCCAGCAGTGACATCAGAATTATTAACAGAAAGAACAGGACAAACTAAATACCCACATAAGCTTTATTTCCATAAAACATTTACTTTTTTTAAAATCTATACTTCAGATGCATTTGAATTGCATTACTTTGTGGATTGGCTAATTTAAAACGCACAAAGGAAAAAAAATAATTAGTCTCTGCACTCAGCTGCCTAAGAGGAAATAGCTCTTCTCCTGAAGAGGCAAGTTTTACAAAGCTTTGTACTACTTCTGATTTTGCCAAGCACAATGGGATTGCCCCTATCGGCAAATACCCTGCAGGTTTATTTGAGGATTTGAAGTTTTCTGCAGTAACCCAGCATGAGACAGAAAATAAGCTAAGGTAATATCTGCAGCACAACACTTGTGCAATCCTGTGCCTGAGGGGACCGTGAGAAGTCCATGATCAGTGAACGAGCACGCTGGGGGTTCTGTAGGAAACAGTTGATGTTTTGTGAAGCTCTCTTCCTATTAAGAAAAGGACCTTTTCTACAGCATGTTTGCTACTTCCTATTCACGCTGGGAAGTTAGCTTTCATAGAAATCATAGTATTTTAAACCACCAAGCAACATCCATAATTCCTGTTTCTCTCACTAAAGCGAATCTGTCACTCGGGACAATATTTGATGGAAGATTCTGGGTCTATTTCACATAAATCAGGTACCTAAAGTAAGGACAGGAAGGAATCTACAGGCACAATACTCAAAAAGCCAAATTTGAAAGAAATATGATATTCACTTCTCTGAAATTTCTTCCAGTAGTTCCATCAGTTTGGCAGCCAAACCCAGCCGCCGAAATTCCGGTGCAACAGAGAGCGCAGTAACATGCCCATGCCACTCTTCTCTAGCCACAGAGCCTTCTGCTTTACCCATTACTGCAAACACACAGAGCATCAGCATAGCGGCACCTCTGGAACAGCACGCTGCAGCTACACATCTTCACGGAAGAGCAAGGCAGTGATAAACAGACAGCTACAGTGACTGCGGCTGAACCAGGGGTATCTACGTTATCACTCTTACGATTCGGCAGCTCTGTACAATTGTGGGTCACACAGCGGCGTACCTCGAGGGCCACACTTCTGTCTGGACACGGAGCTCCGTCGGAACGACCCCCAGCCTTACGGCTCTCGGCGGCGGCACCTGCACGCCAACAGAACCGGCCCCGACGCCGCCGCCCCGCGCTCCCTCCGGCCCCGCGCTGACCGCACGTTTCCCGTCGCGGCCGCCCTCGCCCCCACTCACTGTAACCCATGAGCTCCCCGCCCGGTGCCTCCGCCACGATGAAGTACTCGGGCCAGTGCGCCAGGTACTGCAGGTAGAAAGGAATGCCGTACTGCGACCCTCAGTTAAGGAGCACAGCGTCAAGGGCGGCGCCCCCCCAAGCTTCCCCGGGGCCGGCGGCACGGAAGGATACGGTCTCGGTCAGCGGGTCCAGGTTGCTGCGGAGAGAAAGCAACGCTCAGCGCGAGCCCGGCCGCCCCGCGCGGGGACGGAACACCCCGGGGCGTGAGGAGGGCTCGTGCTCGGGCTCACATGTTGTTGAAGCGGAAGAGGTCGTCGCAGGTGAAGGCGCGGAGCGAGGTCATGGCGGCGGCGCTGCTGCCGGCGCTCCCCGGAAGTCCTTCCTGCTGACCCGGGGCCCTTCCGGAGCGGGGAGGCGGGGCCGCTGCCCGCCCAGCTGTGCGACCGCGGCCGAGGGCGGGATCTGGGCTCCGTGTTTCCGGCCGAGCTGAAAGAAGGGCGGATGGCAGCGGGAGCCGGGGAGCCTCCGTCAGGCGGTGCAAAACCGGCACCGTCCGGCGCGGGGCTCGGCGCGCAGCGCTGCCATGGCCAGCTCAACGGCGCCGGGAGATGCGGCGGCCCCGTGTCTCCTGCGCGGCGTTCCCTGCCCGATGCGCAGCCCTCACCGCCACTGCCGGAAGAGCAAACCTGCCGTGATACTTACCTATAAGCACCAACATTTTAACGGTGTAGTGCATTATCATCGTACTTCATTACTCACGCTGCACGGTGCCGACGGACGGTTTGGCGTGCATCGCGTGCCGAGTGACGGGCTGCAGTGGCCGCACGTCGGAGCAGGGCCGCGGCTCGCATTACTCCGGACTAAAAATATAGTGGCAGCAAGGCAAGAAAACGATGCAGCCTCTGCTCAGCTCTGCTCAGGGGCGGGACAAGAAACGACAGACAGAACTCAGAACACAGAATATTCCATGTCAACATACAACTCTTTTTTTTTTTTCAATTTTAAATTAAAAAAAAAAAAAAAAAAAAAAAGTGGTCAACCCACAACCCAGTAGCATAGGTCACCCAGAGAAGTTGCAGTGCATCCCTATGTACCTCAGGATAATCCATATCTAACTGCACTTGGTTCTGAGCAACCTGCTGCAGTTAACCCTGCTTTAAAAGGGGAATGGAGAACCTGCAGGACTCAAGGTTCCCAGCATCCTCAACAATTCTGAACTGGAGGGCTTTCAGGCATAGCAAAAGAGCAATGAAGGAGTCCTAAAGAGACCAAATAGCGTATGTAGATTCTGGATGGCAAACAGAAGAATCTGAGGTACAAAGGTCAAGAGAGACACAAATGGAGAGGTACTAAGGGAATCTGAGCAGAACTGAGGACATCAGATGCGATCAGTGTCCTAGGATGTGAGGGGGGACAGGGAGGTTATGGGAAAATATGGCAAATCAATAGGCCTTGAGGGAAACAGACGGCAAAGGACTCTGAGGAACACTGAAATGAAAGGTACCATTAGGCAATTACAGGGAAAGAGGAAAAAGGGGGTAGAGTATCTCCTGATGGGAATGAGCCAATTTAGGTGTCCTGAGGTGTTCTGTGGAGCAAAAAAAGCACCAAAGAAAGCTCTACAGTGGACTATAGGACAACGAAGTAGTCCTGAGCAGCTCCGAGTTCCAATGGAGGAGGGGAGGGTGGGAGGGTATAACATAATGGAAGCAAATGGGAGTATCTGGATTGAACAAAAGCTGGAGGATCCTGACAGAACCAGGAGGCAAGTGGAAGGAAGACTGTGGGGCGCACCAAAAATACCAATGGAGTGTTCTTGAGCTAATCAGGGGCCCGGAGTACACTAAGGATTTGGTGACGTGGAAAGGAGAGCAGACTGGTAACACAAACTTGAGTGAAATGGAAGACATCTGAAGGGACTGAAGAGCAAAAAGGTTGCTCTGGGATGCACTGAAGAAAATATAAGGGAAGACTGTGGGGAAAAGATGGCAAATGTAAGGGTCCCAAGTAGACTGAACAGCATTTTTTCATATTTACCTACTTCCATGCGTCCCGATGGAAATCAAGAGCACAACTCAGGAACTCCTTCAGCCATCTTCAGCTGACAATTCTTTCCAATTGTTCAGACTGGAGAAAAGGCCAAGCCTGCTAGAGAAGTCATTTGCCATAAAACAAAAATGCATTAGACTCCCATTCAATTCCATTTTCACCCCTGCAACCTACCTTAGATGCACAAGTTAAACACAACTGCAGAAAACATCAAAGCCTGCATACCTTTGAGGTTTACAGCTCACCCTCTTTATCTCCCAAGACTAAAATATTTCACCAGTTGTAACACGCAACTGTCAACCATCAGGTGTCACAAGGGGAAACCACCACTCTTCATTTTCCACATCAACCCCCAGAACACTTCACAACACATCTGACACTTAAACAGCTGTCGTGTCTGGAACCCAAATCTCTACCCTTTCAACTGTAGTGCTACATTACCTGCTAAATGACTTTGAACACTATGCTTTTGTTTTTTGGAGTTCAAACTCACTAAAATATTACACCACTCCACCTCTTCTGTTCCACCATTTCTCTAGATCTCTTGTGCTAAACATTTGTCCAGAGATAATAGTGTCAAGCCTTAAGTGACTTCATCATAATGAAAGTTGCAAAAGAGACACAAGTATGGGCAAGTTTCAGAGCAGAAGCCTAACAATGCACAGGATGAACTGGAATACCACCAACAATGCAGCTCAGCGCAGCAACTTGGAAGACAAGGCTGGCACACACATGCAAACGCACACGTACACAAATACCACACAAGTAGCAACAATCTTAACTGTGCAATGGAAAAACATGCTTTTGTCCAGTCCCTCACCACCACCAAATGCATAAGCAGCTGCAGAACCCCAGGACAGACACTTGGTAAGCATCTTCACTTGAGGGACACTGTGGGAAAAGGGAGATGTTCAGGAAACCACAGCCTTAAGGACTCATGATGACTCTGAAAACCACACTTTTGCCTTTTTGTTCTTAAATGGCCCTTGGATGAGATGAGCTATTGTACTTTGCTGGTTATCACCATCAGCATGATGGCATCCATATCTGGATCTGTATCACTGGCCCTGCTGGGTGCACCTGAACTCAGTAAGAATCAGGTTTGCTTGAGTACAGCTAGGACCAGTAATTAGGTGCCCACGGGGGAGCAGTGGGCATGTGATAAGCTTTAGAAGCCCCAGAAGGAATATAATTAGATCACATGCTTACTCAGGGATTTGCCCCCCTCCCCACAACGAACTGTAACAATGACCTTTACAGAAACAAAATGTCTCCACCTTAGAGTGAAAACCTGAACCAGATTTGTGCTTGGAATCACAGCTTCTTAGATTGCTCAAATCCATGAAGTGATATTTGTCAAAAGGCTATTGAAGCTCATGCTTGCATGTGCATACTAAATACTGTCCTTTCATTAGGTAATGTTTTACTACACTAAAGCAACTAACTCAAAAAGGATTCAACATTTATCTTCCACTATAAACTTTAATTCACTTTTTACAGAAATGAGAAACATTTTCGTGTATTCCTATACTTTACATTTTCATATTGATGTTTGAAGGAAAGCAGTATTTCAGCTACTGTCAGAACGAAACTTGTAGGCTTTGGCAGTGAATACCCAAGGTTAAAATTAAGGTTATGAGATCGAGGACACAGATGTGCCACTTATTCAGAGTCCCATTTTCTTTCAGGTCTTACAGATGACAGGCCATCTCATACAATACTAACAGTTAACTCTTTCTGCTGATAAGGTACATCCTGTCTCCATCCTAAGTTATTTTGTACATGAAATCAAGGTATTTCAACATATTGCATTCTTTGCAGATATTCTTACCGTAGTCATTTAAAGGCCAACATGAATGTTTATAGCAAATACAATTCTAATGCAGGCATGACCATCTTTTGTACCGCCATTCATATAAAGCATTTCAATTCAAAACGGACAGAAACAATCTTAAATGTTTGCATTAGAATTTACAAGCGTCAGTAACAATCAAGGGCGGACAGACACCGCTTTTCCAAGATTTCAAATGCACGTTCTGGTAGATAATGTATCTTCTCATAGCTCATAGAATTGTACAAACACTAAGGTTGGAAAAGACCTTCACAATTATCTAAACCAACCATCCACCTACCACCAAATACTGCCCATGAAATCATGTCCCCACGTAATTAGCTATGCATGTATAAATAAAATGGACAATACCAAATGAGACGCTCACCTCATTCTTAATTTATTTATAAAGAAGTGACAACACTAGAAAACACATTGATAACCAGTGCTTTGAACAGTGAAGGTGAGACCTAAAAAGGTCTGATTGAACTGAACAACCTTAGGTCATTATCAAATTGCTTATCTGCCAGGAATGCTGAAATGCAAGAGTTTACACCCGCAATATTCCATAACGGAATACTCACATAAAATCAAATCAAATAATCTCCAAACCAGTAAATAAAAAACATCATTAACACTAAGTATTAGAAGACCACTGCTAGTTCTTATTGCTTTTTCAGTTAAATAATGCTCTTCAAGTAAACTGAAAACCACTCTCTACTGTAGTTTGCTCATCCTCCTGCTCATTTATTAACACTGGAAGCAATCAATTATTATATGAGGTGGTAACAGAGGCATCAACAAAAAATGCTGTTTAGGTACAAGAAGATCCCCACCCACCCTCCCCACCCTCACCCCAACACCCACAATAACCACTTAGTGCCAGTAGAGGAGCAAAACTTGATAGACAAAACCAGAAATGTGACTACAGTAAGAAGGAAAGAAAGAGATATAGCTTTCTTATATACTCAAAATCTGATGTCTCCCCAAATGAAGCATACCTTCATTTAAAAAGTGAAGTTGCTTTACATATATATGCGCATATATATACTGTGTGTGCATATATATACACACATACATATAGACAATCTTCACACATACTGAATAGTTGTTCTCAAGTCCACTGACTTCCACAGTGCAGCAGCTGATTTTGAATTACACAATGCTTCAAAAACTACAGTAATATCCAACGCTCTTTTTATGAAGGAGAGCCAAAAACAAACACATGTTGATGTTGTTCTTGTCAGTTCAGCATTTCTGCAGCACTTCTGTTTCTTTCAGCATAAAAGTTACACCAGCATCAGTCTTCAGAATCATCCTCAGAAGCTGTTGGAACAACAGAACATAATCAGAAGCCTTCATAAAGGTTTGTGGAATTTAGAGCACTTTCAGTTTAATATGAGTAGTGGAAACGAAGATGATTTTATTTTTTTTTTTTTTTAACATCAATAGCTGACTGTAATACCTGTCCCAATCTTGTATAATTACCTAGCTTAATTTTTAAATGCATGTCATACCTGAAAAATGCAGAATTTTAAAATCCAAATTCCCCATTACAAATTGTAGTGCCTTTCTGCTGTTTCTCCTCAAAATAAAAGGAAGAACACTTGATTATGCCAGAGATTCAACTTCTATATAATGTTCGCAGTTGCTAACTCCAATTACAGCTAAAAGAGTATATGCAATCCTGGCAGCTGCACCCCATGCAAAGGGAAGAAATGACTCTGTGGGAGTTAATGATTTGTATACCAAAATACCTAGAAAAGCTAAAGTAGTTTCTGCAAACTACTTTCTGACCCTTACATAAATACATACATTGCTTCATGAAATTAAGCCAGTCCTACTTGGAAGCAGTCCTCTCTCCACTCCCATTCTTAAAAGCATATGCAAGTTAAACACAATGTCACCATATGCATAGGATTCTGTTGTTGAAAGGTGAATCAAAGGACAAACACATGCTGTCAATGGTGAGAAAAATTCAGTAAGCATTATCTACAGTCAGTCTGTCAAGTGTTCGCTTGTGCACAACAGCAATTAATCAAAGTTGCCCTTCTAAACTAACTCAGTTTTCTTGAAATTATTTGCCCTCAAGTGATTTGTTTTCCCTCTGAACATAGAGGGAAGCAAGATCTGTCTCCTCACTTCACCAGTCCCCCCAACCACTTAAGAGAAACGTAACTTAAATAGTATGAGTAATAAATTGAAACTCAGTACTTGTCACCTGCAAACTCGATAAAGCCTCACTCAAATGTAGATTCAATTACTGTAGAATACCATTTACTAAGATTAATTTCTATAGGACTATAGTAAGAAGGAAGTAGTTTAACAATGAATTTTGAATTCCAGTCCACCTTCTTTACAGAAAATATTTTTAATGCATGCTCTTAATGCAGAATGATTGTATGCTTTTTGAACTAATTAATGTCTCCTCCCCTCCTTACAGCATTCTTTATCATACTCCAAATGTGCCCAGTGTGCTGCAAGATCGATTTATATACAAAATCTGCATGTTCACAGACAAACACAAACTACAACGGTTGGAGATGATCTTGTAGGTCCTTTCCAAACTTGTGATGCTATAATTCTATGATTCCAGAAAAATATCTACCTTTCCACTGTCTGTTTGTAATGCCCTAAAACAATACTCAGATTCAGGCTACATTTACTGTAAGCCAGCACACATTTTTTCATTTCATCACGGTAAAGAAACATTAGGCAAAAAGCGAGCTAGTCCTCTGCCTGAGCTGAGAACTCTTAAATTTCACCCAGAAGCAGGCATTGCTGATAAAGGAATACGTAGACCTAAGAAGCGTGGGGAAAACGGGGGGAACAAATATGGCACGCACAGTATGATAATCTGAGCATAGCAAAACTTAAGCTGCGTCTTTTCTACTAGGACTCAAGAGAAAGGCTATCGCCTAAAGGTCACAAGCAGTTCCATAACTTCATGTTACTAGAATAAACTGTTACTAGTGAGGAATCTTGGCATCGCTGGCAGAAAACGCTTCCATGGTTTAAACTGTACGGTGCTGGGAAACCAATCATGGAGACTTAATGTCAGCTTCTACTTAGAATAATTCCACTGATATTGGGGGGGAAAAAAAAAAAAAGGAAACCTAATTCAAATTTTCAATAACTAATTTTGGTAGTATGATTCTTGGCAAAGGATTGTATTCATTTAACCTTGACTAGATCCAATGGGAGAGAGAGGGGGGAGAAGAGGGGAAGCACCTACTTTCAATATCTTCCATATGTGCCTGAAGAGTTCTTGCAAGGTTAATAAACTAGAAACAAGGCAGAGAGAAAGTAGTTTAAAAGTTGCAAAGTTATGTGCAGAAATTTGCAACAAGTTAGCAAAGAAGTAATCTTCAACTTTTCTTCACTTTTCACATTGGAAAGCTTCATTCCAGAAGTCACTTACCCTAAACCATTTGCCCGACTTACAAAATGAATGCAAAATTTAATCTCAAGTCCCACACATTAGACTTCAAATTGCTGCTGCATAGTTATTTCAGCTTCCACTCTGTCAAATACCTCTAGTAACAGTTTATGCCCATCACTGTTTTATTCTACAGACTGTACAACACATTTATTTTGAGAGCTGCACACAAGTAAGCAATTGTCAGTGTCACTGATATGGCAAAATAGAGCCCTATGGTGAACGACAATAATGAAAAAAAAAAAAGCATAACTACCTTAAGGACTATAATCATAAATAAAAGTTTTAAAATTGCATTAACTATCAGGCAACAGTGACAGTTAAATTTCAGAAGAACACAGCATCACAGTGGCGATACATCGCTGTTTAACTGACACACCACATGTTGATACACAGCAAATATAAGGAAACAAAAATAAGCATAGCCTAGTTGTGCTCTCACTATCAAACATGCACGGGTACTCTTACTGGTTTAAAACACAGTATCTCACAACAGTGTAACGTCACCACTGATCAAACACATTAAAACATCATATTTCTGCAATACACTCTAGCTAATAAACTAGTATACGTAATATAACTGTAGTCAGCATATGATGTCTCTATACTTGTAGAGGAGAAAAACGGACATTTTATTTGCAGATCGTGGAAAATAAGCTATTCTCTTAGGTATGTATAGGTATAGATATATAGAAAGGGGACTACTGTTCTAATATAGTAAAAGATTACAGCGCAGTCCTGATTCAACCTCAAAAGCCTAATATGTCCTATACAAGCATTCAAACAAGCTTTGGACAAACTTTCAATCATTAATTCTTTGTAAGCAACTAAAAAAAAAAATTAAAATCATATTTTCAGCTCAAGTTGACGCAGAGTATGGAATCATTATCCAACACCAAATTAACATGTAGAATACAGCATTTTTTAAAAGAGTAACTATGTAGAATGATTTTGAATTATGGTCTGTTGCTGGTAAAAGGTGCATTTATTACACCTCCATGTCAAGCCATTTAAGCAACAATAATCTAGTCAAACCCAACTGAGAACTTTGACTAATGCCAGAAAGCCATTCTACATACTACAACTAGGCAGCTTCAGAATGTTAGAACTTCAGTACACAGTTTGGGCCCAAACTGCTGACAGCACTGCAAGATCCAAACCTCTCACTGTAGACTGGCATAATGAGAAAGATTTGTCAAGTAAGATAGTCAAATAATATAAAATGCACATTGCTTTCAGATGAAGATGAGCATTCTAGTTTGGGCTAGATACCCAGTGTTTATGGCAACATACATACAATTATCAACAATTACCAACAACCTGGACAAAAATCATTTTGCAACACAGTAACTAAACTGAAGTAGTACTGTTACTTTTAAATTGGTCAGACAAATCCAGACCAATTTAGACTCAGATTTCTAAAACAAGAGCACTTTTTGAGCATCTGGCTCCTAGATCATTCAAGGCAACAGTCTAGTTCCAAGTTCTCACTGTGAGCAATTCCTTACATAAGATGAAGGCATACTTACTCTGACACGTGTGCTGGCCTCACTTGCGGTTCCGAGCATATCAGAAAAGCGCTGCTCACATAAGTGCAACAACACCACAAGATAGAGACCAGAGCTGATAAATTCATAGTCTGCCTTAAAGGAAATCAAAAGAAACATTCAGAACGTCAGTGACGTATCTCCATATGCAATTCAAGAAGCAGAACAAAAACGAAATTGTACTGGAAGCGCTACATACTTGATCTCTCGTTGTTCCAAGGAAATCACAGAAATGTAATACTAAAAAATTTAATTACTGAAATACTGTTGTACTTGTAGTTCCTCCTACTCACCCCCAGGTGCAATCCTTGTTACCTCTGAAGATAGATTTTATTTGTGGAACTCTTTCTATTAAGACAGCGTGACTAGTTCATAGGCAGGAGGATCAGGGAATTATACAATGTAAAATAAAATCAACAAAGCACAAAACTCAGAAAACCCCACTCCTGGCTGGCTTCCTTTCAGTGCTTGCAATGCTTTATAGGAAGACAAAACAAAAGAAAAATATTATAAAAGCTTTGTGGTGTGATAAATAATTTAAGAAACCGCTTTTCTGCAATAAAGAAAATCTTTCAAAACGATGCTGTGAAATTGATCACTCAGAGCCCATTTTTTAGGAAAAAAAGTTTTAAATATCTTCTACTGAGGTACAATGATAGTAACCAACATTCACTAGTGCTGAAATGGAAGATGACAGCAGTCTCAAGATGCTCTGTTCACAACCTGGTATAGGTGACAGGAATTACGGTACTACAGTAGGTCAACTTACTCTAAAGAGTAAGAAAACTAGATTCTGATGTTTGGCTGAGTTCACATCTTCTAAAGCTGGAGTCACTTCTCTGTATTCTCTTTTAACTTCCCAGGTAGACAAATTTCGTTAATCTTCCTACATTCACAGAACTTAACCCATAAAAAAAGGAAAATCCTCTGAATTAAGTTCAATAAATTAATGCCAACTTATTATTTATTCATTTTAAAATACTACTGAACACAGTATTTCTAAGATAATGCATTTTACATAAAGATAGTAATACTGATTGGCCTTAAATTCACTTTCCATTTAGAAAAGCTCTTGGAAGGATCAGCAAGAAGCTCTGTCATAAAAGAAGTTGGTTTTTTTACCACTTTAATCAAAGGACTAAAGTAAAGTTTTTAATATGTTTAAAGCAACTGTTAAAAAATTATTCTGAAACAAAAAAAATGGAAAGACCCAGCATGACTTAATGAATATGAATGCAGTATTTCCACCACAGCCATGTTGCAGATACCCTAGACTGGCAAAGATAGATGACAGGCCTGCAGACCAGCAAATAAGAACAGGATAGAAGAGGTATCACATTTACTGAAAGCTCAGTAACAGGAAAGAGTGGAAGGACAGAATTAGTCTGAATTTTCAAAAGAAAGATCTGTTTCACAGTTTCATTACTTTATGTGCTTAACAGTCCTTCTGAAAAAGAGAAACATCCTTTTCTGAAGGGGAGTGCTTTCCCAGCACCAAATCAACACCTAGCAAACTAAGCAAAATATACTAACTTGTTCATTTGCGTGTGCCCTATAGAGTTCATGAATGTCAAAGTCTTCCAGATTCAGCTGCAACTTCTCCTTACATAGTTCACAAGTGGTTACTGCTTCCAAAGAAGAACCTGTTAGGGAAGAGCAGGGGGAAAGTAACAAGTTAGTGTCAAATCGCAACAAGCTAAAATGCAGGACATAATCACATAAGCATTGCAAACACTGCGCTCCTGGCTTTATTTCACAAAGCAAAATTAGAAGAAATGATGACTTCTGGTATAAATGCAGCAAATATCTGCTAAGCATCAGAACTTAAATACTACATATTCTCTGTCAAGCTCTAAGTATTTTGCTTCCTGTTCACTGAGATGGTGGGGGGTAGGGAGGGAAGAGATAAACAGAGAACGGTTACAGTTCTGTACAGTTGTACAGAAACAGCTTAGGAACAGGTACAACAAAAAATATTTTTTTTTATTTTACAATTCCTATCATTATGCTTCAGTCAGACTGGCTACAAGACCGAATGCACAAGGGGAGAGCAGGGAACAAACTTGCCAAAACTGGCAGTGTTGTTTGAAAGTACTCCACACTCTTCTGAAGTGTCATATTCTGTTTAACATCTTAACAGATGATCCCAAAAATGGAATTCCAACAATGACATACACAGTTCTTATAAATAACTCCAAGGACAGACTGCGGGCACATATCCAGAAGTGCCACCATCCAGACGTGCCACAATGGTTGTTGGCTTTATTTGCTTTGGTTTTGCGTTTGTTTTTTGTACGTTTTAAAAAATACTTGTTTGTCCCCGACTATTCCTCTTTCAAATATATGTCTTCATACCAGTAAGAGCAATCCTACCAGTAAAGCTCCTCACATAACCTGAAGTCTATACTCATCTGGCATCTGCCTTACCAGAATTAATCTTGGACTGCAGCCATTTTTTCATGCACTCCTGGTGAACATACTGCAGACTTCCAGTGCATTTGCACGGCTCTATTAAATTGTTGTCAGTACTTGCAGAGGACATCTGACAGATTCTGCATAGGTCACCCTCTTCATCCTCAGAATCTTCTAAAAGCAAGCTGAATAGGAAGGAGTATCAACAAATACTGTGGCACATTTCTCATAATTTTTTAATAACATCTATTTCTGCTCTCAAACAGTTCTCAAATCTGCAAGGATTAAAAAATAAGTTTCTCTGAGGACAAAAGTGAGCCCGTAGGCAGCAGTTCTGAGTTACATTCTCTTCTGATCAAGGTTTTAACATCAAGGTTACAGAAAACCCTTTCACGCTAAGTCAAGCACATTTAATTACCTCACAACATACAGATTTACCTCTCTTTAATTTTCTGCAGTCGTTCTGGATCTCTTGAAGGTGGTATTTTGGATTTGTCACTTTCTTGTCCATCAGACTGACTCCAGCCAGAAGGAATAATATCTACAGTTATCATAAGATTGTCAGAGAGACTGCTTCCTAATGTTGGAGGCACTGAAAAGCGAAAGAGAGAACCAGGCAGAATTCCAGAACTTCTCCTGTTGTGGGTTGAATCTGGTGGGGAGGCAGTAGCCGTGGAAATACCAGATACTGCAGGTGTTGGTGGTCTGCTAACAGAAGCCCTAGGAGGGCCCTCTGATGCTTCAAGAGAGGTCTCCTCACCTGACTCTCTTCTTCTCAAAACATGCTGTGATCTAGCAGCTGCATCAGAGGTAGAGATTCTTGCAGATTCATCTCTTCCTTCTCTCCGTCTTCTGGAGAAGAGCGGCGTACATCTGTTCCTCAAAGATGATGACAACCAGGACCCTGTGCTCCTACTTTCAGAGTCTGGTCTGTAGCTTTCCCCATCTGGATCAGAGTTAAGACTCTGGGAAACTCCTGATAAACCCCATCTTCGTCTCAGAAAGCTAAATCCCTGAGAAGCTTCAGATGTATGAAGTCCTGGAGCTTCAGGAGTTGCAGCTCCATTAGTGCTAGACAGAGTAGGAGCTTGAACTCTTGGGACAAGAGATGACTCTTCAGAGCCTAATGACCTTGTCTGCAATGAATCTTGGCTAGATCTTCGAGAGAAAAATGTGGATGACATACTAGATGCTAAACGAGACAGCAACTGTCTGGTTGTGCGCCTTCCTTCACTGTCAGCTGCAGCATCATTCAGTGACCTCTGAGAAGATAAAACCCTTTCAGAACTACTTGAAGGAGTTTCGCCTCTAGCTGAAGAATGAGAAAATGCTGGGTGTACATTCCTCTGGGGAGATTCTATTTCATTTCTCCTTTGTCTTGAAGAATAGCCGGTCCTTGAAGATCTTACGTTAGAGTCTCTGCTGAAAAAAGATTGATGAGCAGAAGGCAACTGGTGGCTCATGGATGCATTTAACCTCAAAGCACTTAATGAGTTCTCTTTTGGTCTTGCTCCTTCTGCATATGTAGAGGCAGGCCTATCCTGAAAATCTGTTGCAAGAAAGCAGAGGAAAAAATATGACAAGACGTGTCCTAATTATTATGTTATAGCTAACTCCTAAGTGTCAACAGGTAAATTCCAGAATAATATTAAGTTTAAATTTACATTTTATAATTCTATCATCAAACTGAAACCAGGACTGTTGTCAGTCTCCTAAAACCAGCTGGAATCCAAAACCCCTAAAACCTTCAGATTATCAAGGTATGATTCACTGTCTTACACCGATGTGAAAACACCGATGTGAAAACAGCAAACACTAGCCATCTGTCAGAAGCTATGTAAGATCATCAATAAGTGTAAGAAAAAAAAAAAACAATATGAAACAACAACCCACCAACCACATACACAGTACTATTTGTAACTCAGAGGCTCATTATGCCTGCAGACTGAAGAAGACATGCTAACTAATACTGCAGGAATACAGCAGACATCGAAGCACCTTAACAAATGCATGGGTAAAGCGAAACATATTCCTCATTTACTAAAACAAACTACCCAAACTGGCCTCTGTTTAAGACCATCAAGAATGTGCTTAAAAGGTAGAATGAAAGGTAGAATAAAATTACTACTGAAGGTAGAATAAAATTACTGACTTTGAATAACAGAAATCAAATGGTATCTAAATTAAATGTGCATCTGATTTTAGAGAATTTTCATCCTTTTATCAGTTGCAGAAGGAAACAAAGATGAAATAAGGCTGAAGTACTTAACTCCTACTTAATTAATCAGTCTTTATTAGTAAGCTGTAGTTTTCTTGGGGTACTCAGTCTGCTGAGACTGAATACAGAGAGACAGAGAATAGAATGAAGTCCGCATAATCCAAGAGAAAATAGTTTGCAGCCTACTATCCTCTTGAATACACACAAATGTTTGGGGCCAGACAATATCCACCCAAGGGTACTGAAGTAGCTGGAGAAGTGGTCACTATGGCACTTTTAAAAAAATTTATCAGCAGTTCTAGCTAACCAGGGAGATCCCAGTTGACAAATGAATCACCCATCCACACGAAGGGTAGGAAGAAGGACCCAGCAAATTAGTAGGAATTACTGGTGACTGGTGGACAGTAGAAGTGAATGATTATGTCGGTCTTTTCCAACCTAGGTGATTCTATGATTCCACAAAATTACAGGCCTGTCTGGAATCAATGCCAGGGAAGGCCATGAGCAGATCATGTAGCCTGTCCAGTCCCAGGCTCCCCAGTTCAGGCAGTTAACTGCTGAAGAGAGTCCAGGAGAGAGTTACAATGATCAGGGCCTGAAGCATCTCCCTTATGATGAAAGGCCTATTCAGCCCAAAGAAGAGAAATTCAGCCCAGGGAACAAAAGGCTGGGGAGGATCTGACCAGTGCTGATCAATATTTAAAGGGCATGAGTCAGGAGAATGGGGGCAGGCTCTGCTCTGTGGTGCCAAGTGACAAGGCAAGAGGCAATGGGCACAAACTGGAGCCCAGGGAGTTCCAAACAAACAAAGAAATTATTCCTTACTGTGAGAGCGACAGAGAACGGGAACAGGCTGCTTGGACAGGTTGTGGAATAATCTCATTCTCTGGGAAATATCCAAGACCTGTCTGGATGCTTTCCTGCGCAACCTACTTTAGCAGGGCAGTGGACTGGAGGATCTTCAAATGAACAAATTCATTCCAGTCCTAGCAGTAACTACTGAACAAACCTCCACCTTAACACTGAAGTATGTATTACATATTTATGCACTTGCTGTCAATATTGTTGTCAATAATATAGCAGCTGTCCTTAATAACCACTCAAGAAACCAAATAAAAGAGACAATACGATATGGGTGCATTGTGAAAATTCTTTCCTGAGTCAAACAACACTTTTTACTTAGGCATGGAAAAACAGATAGAGATCTCAAAATAATTAGAAAGGTGGCTTACAACTGTGAGTACAATAGTGTTTGTATCATAATGGCAAGCACCGATACCACTTTCTTGCGGCTGAGTGCATCTATACAAGCCAAACCCTTCATATAACATTTGATGTCTTAGCCAGTACATGGAAACTTTATTTAAAAGGCCATTTTAAAATTTAAATAGATCTTACTGTCTTTGTATTTTGAAAAAAAAAGTTTGGAGAACATGGGAAGAAAATAATAGGGCATGCAGCTATGCATTTATGAGCTATAATTTCTACAATACATACATGCTGAAGATGAAAAGTCACTGTTTCTGTAGCTATGATCCACCAGATTATTAAAGGACTGATCCGTTCTTCTTTCTAACTCTCTTCGCTCTCTCACTAGCTCAGTTCCCAGGGAACCAAACATCACAGAAGATGATCTGGGAATCCTACTATATCTCCAAGAGGAATCTGGAAAGAAACAAGAAAATAAATCTCATGTTGTTTTTTTGTTTGTTTGTTTTTAAGTATTTAAGAACCCATTAAAGTTGGTATGCAAGCATATATTATGGTTATTTTGTATTAAGAGTGAACTTAACAATACCACTAAGTTGATCAAGTGGCCAGCTACCAACAAAAAGCTAAGAATAAAGCTGCACTCCACTGATGCTGGCAATTCATTTAATCTTGCAGACAGTTCTGAGAGATAAATCCAGAGAAAAAGTAATACAACAGAAGTAGGGTCTTGCTGTGCAAAGACAGCGCATCACTTAATAAGCTTCACAGTTAGGCAAAACAGCAGCTTCAGTCTTAATAAACGCTACCAATCCACTGACACTTCTTAAATGCTCCTACGACTGATTTTCCAGCAATACAAGTGAAGATGGAACACACCTCTTAAGAACAGTGACAAATACTTTTCTTGCTCTTACCACAGAGACAACATCTCAGTTTAATGAGTTAACTGTTGAAGCTGCTAATGAAAAATAAGATCTCTCTGAAATAGTACATACTTAAGCAGTGGACAAAACTCATCCCAAATAAATCCATCATGAATTTACTGGTAAATTTTAAATCCAAATTTAGGTCAACAGGTTGCGAATCAAATAATCTGGAATTTGAAAGATGTTCTAGACCATAACAAGACATGTTAATAACAGTCATTCTACTTACAAAGAATAAGGAAGCATCCACAGTACAGGGTTTGATCAAGAATTTATTAGCCTTTATTTGGATAGCCATATAATAAGGGGATATAAAAAATAAAATTGATCTCTATGCATAAGCATAATTTGAATGACTCTAATAGTGTTTCCAGGTGTTCTAGAGATATTTTCAATATAAGTTTGTTGTTTATTTCCTGGCCATTAGACCCCTGTTGGCAGATTGCTTTAAATACATTTATTCAAATATCTGCTTATATTGTATCAGTCCACGTATCATACACTTCATTGCAGCATTAATGGAAAACTCAGCTTCTCCTGAAAGCATTCTTTATTTAGAACATTTATTTTTCACTTGGCCTGCAGAGTAAATTGAGACAGCTAAAAAAAAAACAAAAACAAAAAAAACACACAAACAAACAAACAAAAAAACAAACCAAAACACTTATTCCTTCTCTGACTCCTACCAACAATGGTCTAACCTTCCAAGGAACTATGCTTCTTGAAATACAGAGCTAAGTACACAAGGATATTCCTTCTGCTGGTCCTTAATACACACACAGGGTTGCCAATACCATTTGACTCTTGAAATCAAAACAACCGCATTCATTCCTTCCTTTAAATCTTAACCAATTAAGACAATCTGAGACATGAAGCTCAGTTTTAGTACAAATGGAATAGGTACAGCTAACGCTCAAGTTGTGAGTACAAATGAGTTCTCCGAAAACCATACTAGCAGCATGCTCACTGCTTTGGATATTCCCATAAATGTGAAAATAAAATCCTATTAAGCATCAGCTTTTAATATTTAAGAATCGTAGTAGCATAATATTTCAATGCAAGTATTTTAGAACTTGGTAAATCCTCATCTTGCTACTCTCCGATAATTCTCACATAGCTCAGCTCAAGTCATCACATTCTCACCTGAAAAGGCAGCCAAGCCATTACTTCTCACAGAAGAGGTAGACGTACAAGACAGCTTAGGTCGCTTTGAATCACTATCTTGCTGCTGGCTATGCAGTCTTGAATATGCTCCCTGAGTTCTTTCAGAATCATCGTAACACCCAGATGTAAAATGAGAAGAGGAAGATGTAGACTGAAAACAAAAAAAATTGAAAAAAAGGTTATGGATTATGTATTCAGGTGTCCTTCTGATAGCCTAAGATATTGCAAAACAGGACACATAACAGAAGATTCACAGAACTAGTAAAAAAAAAAAAAAAAAACAACCTGAAGGTTCAAAGTCTTTTTACTTAACAGTATTATATGAACTATGCTTGTGCAGTTCTACCACCAAAAGTTGTTCCCTATTAAAATCATCATTTTTTTCACATTAAAAGATATTGATGACTTACAAGATGCCATAACCATGTTCAAACATAGATTTACAGATCTTAAGGCAAGCAGAATCACAGAATGTCAGGGATTGGAAGGGACCCTGAAACATCCAGTCCAGTGACCGTGCCGGAGCAGGAACACCTAGATCAGGTCACACAGGAACACGTCCAAGCAGGTTCTCAATGTCTTCAGAGAAGAAGGTAATAATTTTGTACTTCAAAAACGATTCTAGTTTAACAAATTCTGCTTATCTTCCGCCAACTTAAAACATATTTAACTAAGTGGCAGCTCCAGATTCTAGTAAGCCATTTAGTCCAGATATAGCTTGATTACATTAAGCTCAAGTACAACCGAAGGAGTTGTAAAAGGATAATTTTTTTGCAGTATTTTATAGATTCTGTGCTACTGAGAAGGAAAAAAATAAAAGCACAAAAGGTTAGCCTGGAAAGCTATTATCTGATTACTTGCAGCTAAATATTGATTTTTAAATACCAAAAACTTGAACTTCATCAGGCTGTTTGTCCTTCTCCCAGAAATAGTCTGAAACTGAGCTTCTTAATTGACCAAATAAATTATACTGTTTTGTTGTTGTTGTTTTTTAAATGAAGCGTAATGCCATCACTTTTCACTTTTTACAACTAAAAACTACTCATCTTTCTCATCATAAAAAGACAAACAGACACAGAAACTAACATCACAAACCAAGTACAAAAACAATTTGATGTCTCCTCAAACCATCAGTTTAACACATAGTTTATCTTTTATCACTTATCTTTTTATCAATTGTTATTTTACAAGTTGAAGTCCAGGAGTCTTATGCAGCATTCACTTGTGTTAGAACACTTCAAGGGAAAAATTTATCTTAAAAAGGAGAAAACCTCATTTTGAAAAGGCTAGAGCACCAGCTTAAACAGGTACATAGGCCGACTTCCGAAGCATCCCGCAAAGCTCTTCCACCTACCTAACTATTCTGAAAGTGCTTTTTACCTTTTAAGACACAGTAAAAAAAAAAAAAGGACTCCTCTTTAGGGAAGAAGCACTGTCAGGTACCCATGTGTCCTCTCGGTTTCAAAGCGAGAACTTACATTCGTTCACTGTCTCCCACTCCCCCCTCTGTCTCCCACTCCCCCCTACATGTAATCATAGTTCTTCCCTTTTCCCATCTTGAAGCGCTCATGCAGTTGCACTGGATGATGAGGGAAGACATGCCATCCACAGCAACCTGGACAGACTTGAGAGCGGACCCATTCCACCCTCATGAGGTTCAACACGGCCAAGTGCAAAGTCCTGTACCTGGGTTGGGGCTATCCCAGATTATACGCAGATACAGGTTGGGCAAAGAATGGCTTGAAAGCAGCCCTGAGGAGAAAGATTTGGGGTGTCAGTTGAGGAAAGATTCAACATGAGCCGGCAATGTTCCCCTGCAGCCCAGAAGGCCAACTTATTGTGGGCTGCATCGAGAGGAATGTGAGCAGCAGGGCAAGGGAGGTGATTCTGCCCCTCTGCTCTGCTCTCACGAGACCCCACCTGGAGCACTGCGTCCAGTTGTGGAGCATCCAACACAAGAAGGACGTGGAGCTGTTGGAGCAGGTCCAGAGGAGGGCCACAAAGATGGTCAGAGGGCTGGAGCACCTCCCCTGCGGGGCAGGCTGAGAGCTGGGGCTCCTCAGCCTGCAGAAAGCTCAAAGGAGACCTTACAGCGGCCTTCCAGTACCACCTGCTCGCTTTTCCTCCATTTTGACTCAATAAAGTGTATTCTTCTAGATACATTACAGTGAGCTTCTGTTGGCAGATTTTTAGATTGAGAAGGTTACAGTAAAGCCCGATTGTCTTTTAGAAAGTTATTAAACATTAAAAATTCTCACCAGTCTGTTTCTGCTTCCCAAAAATCGTCCAGACCGTGGGTGATCAAGTGTCCCTGAGTAGTGAGTCGGAGAGGATGTTGTAAGCTTCCAAGGATTTTCATGAGTCCCTCTTTCTCCAATTCCCCAGTCTCTGTCAGAATTACTCAATACATCGGATTCCTAAAACAACAACACGGTTATCACATGCACTTTGAATTTTGAAAACACAGGCAAGTGGTGGGTACTAACAGATCTGGAAACCTTTCTCAAAAAAAAAAAAAAAAAAAAAAAAAAAAAAAAAAAAAAAAAAAAAACCCACACCAAAAAACAACCCAAAGTAAGATACGTCCAAGAAGAAACAATGCAGGCTTAAAAAAAAAAAAAAACTGTGGTAAAAGAAAGATTTTTTTTTTTTAAATTCCTGTCTAGTAATTATTACCTCATTGATGTCTTCTCAGTTGATGTGAATAAAGCAAAGTTGAAATCTATGGTTTTGGGGGTGTGATGTAGGCACTCCAGCAACAGGGCAGAGTTAAGGAACTCAAATTTCAAGACAACACATCACTATCCTCTATACTCACAATCCATCCGTCTTGCCCTGGTCTTGAGTTTTAATACACGAAAGAAAATTGAAGGGGACTGCATGTTTTGAGGATACTAACTAATGTATTTTTTAAATAATAGGCATGATCTGTCCTACTAAAATAGATGGACAACAGATTCCAGCTATGAAGTCACGTTCCTAACAAAAACAAACAAAAAAAAACACGCTACTGCCCACTGCAGGGGAGTTGGACCAGCTGCTACTTAGATTCCTTGAAACCAAACCCACTGTATAATCCTCTGCAGCTTCCTTCAGTATGCAGTATGTAGTATGATTAGGTTGCAGTTGGACCCATTCTAAAATCTTAATTCCGTGATTCTACAACCTTTCCTGGCACGGTGGTGAGACTAGCAGGTTTGTAATTTCAGGGGTCATCCTTTTTACCCTTCTTAAAAATGGGTGTGATGTTGCCTTTTTTCCAGTCACCAAGGACTTCACCTGATTGCCACAACTTTCAAATATCACTGACAGTAGCTTGACAATTCCACCAGCTAATTCCCTCAAGGATGCAACTCATCAGGACCCATAGATTTGGGATGTTTCAGTTTCTCAGGTGGTCACGAACATGATCGTCACTTACAGCAGGTGGAATGCTGCCTCCCCAGTTCCTTCTGAACAGTTATCAGAGAAGATTGAGGCAAAAAGCCTTCTCCTTGCCTGTTTTTACTTGCTTGACTGTGTCACTCACTGAGGGGTATGCCCTCCCAGACTTTCCCTTTCTGGCTGAGGTAGCTGTACAAGGCTTCCTTGTTCCTCCTGGCATTCCTTGCCAAGTTTAGTTCAAGCTGGGTCTTGGCTTTCCTGGTCCCTTCCATACCTTCCTTACGTTCTTCCCACACAACATGTCCCTGTTTCCACTGCTCATGGATTTTCTTCTTGCTCTTCAGTTTGCCCAGCAGGTCCCAGTTCAGCCACACTGGTGTCTTGCCTTCCTTTCCTGACTTGATACACCTGGGGATGGAGAGCCCTAAGAAACGCTTCCTTAAATATCATAAGGACAATTTCACAGGGTGTTTTGTTGACTAACTCCCTGATTCCTGTTGCCTAACCACCCTAATTCTACTCTTTGTCTGTCTCATATCAACCAGGAGCATGAACTTGACCAGCACGTTCACTACAGCCCAGGCAGCCTCTAAACCTGATGTCACCAACCAGTTCATGTGCATCAGTGAGCAATAGCTTCAGTATTGCATTCCCTCTGGCAGGCCCATCTATTACCTGACTCAAGAAGTTATCCTCAGTGCATTCCAGGAGCCTCCTGGATTGCCTCCACCATAAAACGTAAGACTTTTTTCTTGTACTATTACAGTATTTTGGAATTTGTATTGTAGGTTACCTAAAAAAAATTTGTATGACACATATCTCAAATCTGTTTATTACTAGCGTGATTGCTCTGGCTTCTCAGACAAACAGAGGCTAAAAACTTAATGGTGCATATAAGAAAGTTTTTCTTTTGTTTTTCTTCTCCTTTTCTTCTTTTGTATTGTTTTGGCTTTCAGCTATGCCAAATTACATGAATTTGCCACTCAGAAGGAACTCCATATGACAGTATACAAGAATCTGTACATACATGAAAAACATATTGAACTATCCACACAATAGAAAACAGCTTTTTTTAAGCACTAGTCAAACCCAAATGCTTAAGTCTGACTGCTCTGTATCCAATAAGTTATTTTTAGTTAATACATAATTATGTTCTTTTGCTATCGTCTAAACTCCACAAGTTCTCTTTACACAAACCAAGTACTACATTTTTCTTCTAAATGACAGATCTTTTGAATACTTCTTTAAAAAAAGAAAAAGGTAGACTTCTAAATGAATTAAAACAATGAAGAAATACTGTCTATTCCATTCCTGCTAACCTACTCTTATTTAGACTGACTCGTTTTCAACCAATTGAAATCTTAACCTGCAAGTAATGCTGCAATTTTCACACAACAGCTCTGTAAGTAGCAAAGACCAGGAGATGCTTACTACCCTATGCTTACTGCTAAGCAATAGTCTTAAATAACAATCTCTCAGACTACTTCCTATAAATCAGAGTGGAAAGAAGGGATACAACGCTCTACATTGTTTTACCTGGAAAGCACTGTAAAAAACATTCCACAGATTACAGGCACATCGCTCAGCAGAAAATAACCAAATGCTAACACACAGTACACAGTGAACTTCATGTAATACATAAGCACATAATCCTCCCTATTTCTTAATACTGGAAGACTATTTGGTAACACATCTAACTTCAAAGCAGCTGTTCAGCTTCAGACTCATCTTTGTCAAGAGCTTACTGTATGATACTGGACTGCGTGCATTCGTAAATCCTACGAAAGAACAAGACTATCAGATTTGGTTTTGCTGAGCAGTCGGTGAAGAAAAGGTAGAAGTCCAAAGACGAAAACTGACTGAAGACTACCCTCAGATGCTCTTGGTAGCCTATATACTAACAAACACGTGCGTGCTAGACACTGCAATATGTAACATGCAGCTCTATACATCTTGCGCTATGTTGTGCTAAAGGTCATAAAATGCTGCTTTACTTCTCAAACAGCTTCTGGAAAAGGCTTTATATAACACAGCGTCCTACACAACTTGCCAGAAGTGACCAGGTTCATAATCATGTTGTCAAATAAACACAAACATTTAGCCATGAAGTTGCAATTCTGCAACTTTGAAGACAAAAACTGTGCTTATGTTTCCAGGCACAAAAATTTTACTTGACAACTGCTGACAGGTGCAGAAGCAACACAGTATTCGAGCCAAACCATCTTCTGTTGATTCCAGGTGACCCAAAACTACTTCTGAATTAGCTTAATCCATATGTGCCACAGTACTCTTTCAAAGTGAAAGCATCTGCACAGTATGGCTTCTTACTTCAGAGTACAGCTTCCCTGTCCCACAAAAGCAATTTGGTTAGAGTTAAATATTGCACATGAAAGAGCAGGTCTCTATCACAGCCCAATCTATTGTCAGGTCTAGCTGCATTAATATACTAACTGACAGCACAATGCCAGCCTAAAGGGTCCCTTCTTACCCCTACAAAATGCAAAGGCAGTAAGCAGGTGCTCCAAAGCAGCACATCCTACTGTCAAATCTTAGAACTGCAATATATCCCCGTACTTCCTGCATCACTATCCACACATGAAGTGTAACACCCTACACACACTGAAATTCAAACATAAGCCTCACCTACACTGACCAGAAAGCCAGATTCTACACACATTAAAGACAGCAGTAACTACAGTCAAAATATATTCACAGTATCTGGTTCCCCTTCTGTCATCAGTCAGTTCATTTCTAAAGGAGCAGCTACAAACAAAAGCAGGTAAAGATGCCAGAGACAGAACTGCTAGTTCACTGTGCAAAAAAGAAAAAAAACCCTTTCATTGGCCTGGTCATCAATTAATTGATCATACAATTAATTATATTTCCTGTTCACAAATGCAAAGGCCTGGCTGAGATTTCTCTGTATATTACCCCATCCCTCTTTTTGAATCCATATGTCTGTGCACCAACTTCAGGGTTAGTGAGAAAGACACATTAAATGAATTTACACTTTACAGAGAGAGTTAAAACACATTACCTGGTAACCAGAGTCTAATCCCCGTGAAGAATCTCTTGCACTATATGCACCAGCTAAACTGCTTCCAGTTAATGTTCTAGATCCTAGAGTAGAGCCGGAGGCCTGAACAGATATCCTTCGAGGAATTCTTGAGGGCTTAGACTCCATTCTTTGTACCCTGTAATAAAGGACACACCGTTGTGTTTTTTTTTTCCCTTTCGGAAGCAGAGATTTAGATACAAAACATGCACAAGTGTTTTTTAAATGCAACTCAAATACAAGTCATGCGCACAGGCAGGCACACTTACACCAAGCTTTGGTCTGATCAAGCACCAGAAAGATGGAAAATGAGGTTTTTCCCCTCTGTTTTGCAACTCATCTTTACATCTCCCATTCCATGCTACAAGACTAGAAACAAGAAAGACAGAACTTTCTTATATGCTTATATCTACACTATATTCTTTCTGTTACATTACTAGTGGGACTCTCTGAAGAACTCTGCAGGAGCTGCACGGAAACAAAATGAGCCAGGGAAGGAATCCTCAGATTAAATAAATTCACAAATTAATTTTCCGTTAATGAGCTGCATCTTGAATCTGTGATGAACTAAGTACATGCAAAGACTACACTCAAACTTAAGTCCTCAGAGTCAAAACTATGAAACATCACCTTTCCATTAAACAACTCTACTTGCAATCTACCTACCTCAAAGAAATATTTAAGTTTTCCAAAACAGCCCCCATGAAAATCACTTTATAAAGCCAAAGTACATGGCGTCTCACATCAAACAATAAACTTTCATTTGACTCTGAAGTACGTACTTGGAATCACAGAATGGTTTGGGTTGGAATGGACGTTTAAGATCATTTAGTTCCCCTGTGGGGGAGGATAGTGGTAGGCAGGGGCAGGCACCTCCCTCTGGACCAGCTTGCTCACAGTCCCATCCATCCAGGCTTTGGCTGTTTCCAGGGAGGGGGCATCCACACCATCACTGAGCAGCCTGTTCCGGTATCTCACCATCCTCACAGCAAAGAATTTCTTGCTGACATCTAATCTAAATCTGCCCCCTTCCAGTTTAATACCACTTCCCCTCATCCTATCTCTACCTTCCTGTCACAGAGACTGCCTGTCACCATAACACCATGACACTTCCCTTACAAGAAGTCCCTCCCCAGCTTTCCTGTAGGCTCTTAAGGTACTGGAAGGCTGCTGTAAGGTCTCCTTTGAGCTTTCTGCAGGCTGAGGAGCCCCAGCTCTCAGCCTGCCCCGCAGGGGAGGTGCTCCAGCCCTCTGATCATCTTTGTGGCCCTCCTCTGGACCTGCTCCAACAGCTCCACGTCCTTCTTGTGTTGGATGCTCCACAACTGGACGCAGTGCTCCAGGTGGGGTCTCGTGAGAGCAGAGCAGAGGGGCAGAATCACCTCCCTTGCCCTGCTGCTCACATTCCTCTTGATGCAACTGCAACACAGTTGGCATACTTGCTCTTTTTGTATTTCTAGGCATCTCAAAATAAACACTGGTGCCTTTATCAAATGAGAAGTGGTTTTGTGGGTCATTCTTTCCTTTGAAAGGATATTTTGACCTAGTGCTGCTCAAAAGCTTTAGATACGTGGATAACTGGCTTGCTAATATTCCCAGATTCTTCCTCCTCAGAACAGGACAGATATAATAGCACCACAAAAAGTAAATACACTGCAGAGAATCCCAGCATTGCCAGTGGTGTGCTGCGGAAAGGGTTATGTGACAGCTAACAACTCTGAAAACAGATGGCAGAGCAAGGCAATTTGCAGAAGTGGTACAACCTGTTTTACATAACCACTGTTAATTCTGATCTAGCCTTCTGAAAACTGCAATGAGAATATATCAAGAAAAAATCATCATCAATCAATAAAGCCCAATTATTTCCCCACATTTAGTATCACAGTCTCCAAAAAACTACTGCAATTCTGACACGTCTTGCATCCAGCTGCAGCTCCCAGCTGAGTTCATAAACTCAGGACTATTTGACACATTCCCAGTACAAATTAGTTTGTACATAAGTCCATTGATCAAACAGTTGAACAACTGCAAATCAGACTACTGTTTTCATCAAATGAAGGTTTTGAAGCCACTTCTCTGTTCCATGTTTAGCCACTAGGCTTACAAAACAGCTCACACCATAAAGTAGCCTAAAAGCTTAATCATGCAAGTAGAGCTCATTGCAAAGAAAATAAAATATAAAACTTAAACATCTCATGATTATGCTATGCTTTAAGTGAACATTTAAGCCAATAGTTAGATAAACATAGGTTGTACAAAGAATTACTGGGCTGTACCACAGAGCGGCACACCAGTTACTAAACCACGCTTCAAACATTAACAGCCTATACACTCACATATTTGGTTAAGTGAGATCAGTTTAGGAACCTCCATTTCTCACTGACCTACCCTTGGATTAGGAACTTAAAGTCACGCAATGGCTAAGCTGCTCAAATCACATTTAAACCCACGAGGAAATACTAATGGACAACAGCACTGTTGAGTAATTCTCAAACTTGTACAAACAGTATCAATAAGAATGCTCAGGGCAGCACTTCACAGCCCAAAAGAACGCTGTCAGTCATGTGAGTTAAGAAATTCATTAACAAATTCAGTAATCTAAGCTACACCACTTTCTACGGGTCATCTGCCCAATAATACAAAAGAATCACATTTTTAAAGTATTTGTAACATACTGAAGATACTGTAATGATTGTTAATTTAAACCTCAGAGTAATCTGCCATCACATGCACTGCAAGCCCAGTACAGGCCCGAAGCCATATGAAGTGTGAAAAAATAACTATTCAAGTTGCAAACTTTGAAACTAAATGAATCCCAGGTCACAGCAATAGATACAAGGGTCTAAGTGGTACAGGACAACTGCTGGTCTTGAGATTTGACTTCCAAAACAGTTTGTCCACGTCCTACATTGATGCAAAACACAAAGGTCAAGGCAGTAAGAGACAAGCAGACAGATTAAGTGATCCAATTTTTCTGACACAGAGCATCAGAACAATCACGTTGGTTACGGATCATTCTGCTTCTGGATACGTGCAGAACCTGGTGAATTAAATAACACAAGTAGAAAGTTAGAGGCAGACAGACAGAAAACACACAGAGGTTCCAGGCGAAAGGAAGGAAGCTCCTTACAGCAGGAATTAGCAGAGGCCTACGCTATCCGCAGCTGCACGCTGCCTGGCACAGCCCGCCCTGCCGCACACCATCGTGGCAGCGGCTCCGCTGCACCATCCAACAGACCTGGCCCCCATCAGTCATAACAACCATACGTGGGAGTACAGTGAGCACCGTCTGAGCTGAACACGGGGCTTGGGGAGGGCGCAGCGCTGCCTCAAGTTACGGCAAATAATCTTATGCGTTTTGATACTTTGGCTAAACGCAGTCCAGTGAAAAAATATATGCAGTCACACCTGCAGTTTTGATGAAGGAATATGAGAACAGGTTTTAAGATTGCCAGAAAGGTCATCTATTTTTCATTATATTTGCAACTCCATTTTCAATCGGCATATATACATTCTCTGCAAATTTTCAAGCGGAATGCATGGAGGTGCAACCAGACGTCCAACTCAAATGTTTGATCACGTGTCTTTATCAGACTTTAATAAGCCCTCTTACCAAAGAAAGATACCCCTTGCTTCACAATCATACCTTACTCATGCCACTGCTTTTAGCAGTACCCACATTTGTGAACAACTGTTTTCAACAACGAAGCACGGGAAGAGTAAAACTTCATAAGAAATCTGACAAACACCTTGGGAGTTCGCCAGGAACTGCAGATACTTCCACTGAACCAGACTGATGCATTAGTTTCACAAAACCAGTCTTACATCCCACCAGTTTTGTTTTCTTGGTGCTCTCTTTTTCCAGTATTTCAATTAAAAAAAAAAAAAGCAAATGAAGCTACATTACTTAAATGCATTAACTATATATTTTATACACAGTGCAATTTTATACAAGGCAATTCATCTTCACTCAATGTGGCTCACACAAGCCAAAAGGTTGTACGCACATGAATTGGCATCTAAATGAACAGGGGAAGACAACAGCAGTGGAAGAAGTCAGAAGATTTTTTAAATCAAATTAGAGATCATCTACCACTAATAAAGTCTTGTGATGCATTTCAAGACCCGTTTAAAAAAAAAGAACAAAAGAAAGAAACGGCACTGAAATTAAAATTTTGCCATTAAAATTATGCATGGAAAAGAAATGACCATCTCATATCTGAGAGAAGTTGCACAGCCTATTCGGAGTACACAGCTCCAACATCCCTCCCTTCTTCACCCACCATGCCTACAACAACATTATAAAAGATCAACTAGATCCAACCTAGCCACAATAAATGCAATAGAAAATTTAAAACATCAACAGTTCTTTGCAGGTAAGCAGTGTAATCTGTAAAGGTAAAAATAACATAACAAATATTTAGAATATAAAAGCCTCTCACTCCTCCTTCTCTGTCACCCTAACCCCACCCACTAAGGAATGAGAGGCAACAGGACATACTCGTGTCTACCGGACAGTGAAGCCTTTCTAGCTGCCATGCAATAGCTTAGCACATTTGTGGGTCCCCGCTTTGAGCTGCACATACCTCACTTCCAGCTCAGAAATTCAGGGCCCACCTCAGCACTACGTGGCGATGCTTCAGCCAACGCTTAGAGCTCTTAGGGCTAGAGATTTTAGCGCGCTCTGACATACAGCGGCTCATAAGATCGTCGCAGAACCAATTTGTGACCGCGTGTTCTTCACGTTTCATCAGACGACATTTAGAGCGGCAAGCAAAACGGAGCTCAGGGTCAGTTTCGTCACTCCGCGCAACCAGCCGCCAGCCAAGAAGGCCGACAAGAACTCAGCAGCGTCCCAGGCGGACCGAGATCCCGGCACCAGGCGCAGCAGCAGCTCCTTCCGCACCCTGCCGGCCGGGGGTCACGGGGAGGCCGCCGTCACGGGGCTCAGCCCAGCGGGCGACAGCGCCAAGCGGCGTCTCGCAGCCAGCCAAAAGGCGGCACGGAGCGCCCCGCTCCGATTCCGCAGGATGGCGGCTCCCTGGACGGAGGCGAGGAGCGGCGCGGAGCGGCCCGGAGTCACATACGCGCCGCGGCCAGGGAGGAGCGCGCCCATCAGCGGCGGCCGCAAAGAGGAGGGAGGAGCCGGGCGGCACCGAGACAAAATGGTTCCAAGAGCGCCCGGCCGCAGCCCGACGCGCGGGGCAGGAGCCGGGCCCGCGGGGACACCCTCCCGTCCCCTCCTCGAGACCGTCGGGCTCGTACTCACTCTCACGGGCGAGGCCCTCGCGACACGAGCATTGGAGATCCGCCGGAGAGGCCGGGCCGGACCCGCAGACGGCCGAACGGAGCCCGCCGCCTCGACCCGCAACACAATGGCGCCGGCGCTGTGCCGCGAGTCCGTCAATCGCTGCCCGCGCCCCGCCCGTGCCCGGAATCTCGCGAGAGCGGCGGAGACGGGGAAGGGGGTGCGCTGCCGCAGCCGCCAGGGGGCGCTGCGCTCGGGGCGGCAGAGCCACGGTTCCATCGCCGCTTCGGCGTTTCGTTGCTGCCGTTATGCAGCAGGGCTTTACTGAGTCCCAGCAGCACACTGAGTGCCCAACATCGCACTGTTACGTCAGATAAAGGAGTGTGAAATAGTGGCAGGCTAGCCAGGCCGTAGGAAAACGAAACAAAACAAACATCCACCCTCCCTGACAGGCATACAGCGTACAGACCCGATGTGTGCACACCTAATAGCTCCGACAGATCTGGGACACGCGAGTAAGACCAGACAGGCTGGTTAGAAACTAGCCAGGTGGCATCTCTAAACAGAAGGGACAAGCCTATGTTTAACAAACACCTAGCTGGATTCTGCTTCCCCTTCATGCTTTTAAATGTATTTTTCCACATGGTTGGATTGTGGCTGACTTTGTTCACTGATTCTCTTATGTACACAACTGTGGAACAAAATACATGCTAACTGGAGACAGAGGACAAAGGGCTGGAAAGAGCCGTAATGAGAAATAAAAGCATTTGGAGGAAAACTCCTGGGGAATAAAGGCTGCTCTGGTTTCTGTTCTCTTTGGTTTTAGGGGTTTGTTTGTTTGTTTGTTTGTTTGCTTTCATTAAGGGACCTGTTGCCTTTTACCAGCATGCCAAATAAATGCTTATTGGATTCAGAAAAATATTGTCTATACCAGTAAGACTCGGGCTGCTGCTCTGGCCAATACAATTCATGCGGCAAATCTGTCTCTAGGGAGGACAGCTGGGAATGGACTTAATGAACCATTCTGGTGGTAGTGGATGCCCTTGTTCCTGGTTAGCAAATGAGAACACTTATGGAACTTGTTAAACCTAGTGGAAATTGTATTCTTAAAGGAGAAATTTTGCATAAATCAATTGCATCCACTGATCAAATAAAATGATCATCATGAATATAGAGGGCAGAGTGTAAAAGCCTCCTGTAGGTAGAAGAGAACATGATGTAATGTTTTAGAGAAAACAGAAAGTTCAGTATCAGAATTCTCAACAATATTCTTATCCAGGATGATGTCTTTAGTTAGCTTGTGAATTTGAGGGAGCTCCTGGTCTCTGTAGCTGGAGAAAATCCCAGGCTGCAGTTATGTCACTTAGTCCTGGCAAGAGCAGAGGAAATTACTCCCTTTAAGATGAAAATGTCTTTCCATAGGAATGAACTTGTACTACTGAAAACTTACGAAAATCTGTATAGCCTTAAAATATTCTCCCGTGTTCCTGAGTTATCAAGAATCAAATAGTTGCAGAAAAGTAATACATGTACATGCATAAACACATGGAGTTAAAAATGCTTTTGAACTAGGATAATAGCAATGTAAGATTTCACTGGAATCTATCTGAGTTTGTTACGGAGGATAATATATAAGTAGGGTGGGGATTAAAATATGTTTTACCACTGTGTTGATAAGAATGAAGAATTTCCTGGACTCTGGTCCAGGAAAGAGATAATTATTGTTATTGTGTTATTTTGACTAAATTAGTATCAAAGCAGAGAAGGAAGTAGGAGGAGCAAAGCATCAGCAATTATTAGGTGCATACAAGGGGATCATTTTTCTTTTCCTGTACTTGAAATACAGTGCTCTCAATCTATGCCCTCCCCCGCCATATAGTCCCCCCAACCTGATTTATTTATTCATTCATTTTCTTTCCTTTATATAATGTTCATTATTTTTTCTGGGTAAGAACAAGTTACTATGATTAAACAGAAGACATCTTCAACTCTGTGAAACTGTACCTCTGCGTCCCTTACACACCGAAATGCTGTTCTTAAAATTCAAGCAAGAAAAAGTAAAAATGAACAAACATGTTTATTGTGCGTTAAAAAAAAAATAAGACCAGAATGAACTCCTCCTTGCAATTAATACAAATGACGAAATTAATATAAAAAATATTTGAGGTAATAAATCAAGTGCAGGATTAGGAACACAGTCCTGGCTGTTACTATTTTTTTTTGTGTGCGTGAAGTATGTTTCCCCTGCGGAAAAACACAGGTTTTCTTCATAGAATCACCATAGAATCTTGGATGGCCAGGTTTGAAAAGAATCTCAAAAATCCTCGTTTCAACTCTCCTGCTATGTGCAGAGTCACCAGGTGACCAGGCTGCCCAGAGCCACGTCCAGCCTGGCCTTGAATGCCTCCAGGGATGGGGCATCCACAGCCTCCTGAGCAACCTGTTCCAGTGCCTCACCACCCAATTTCTCAATTTTCTTCTTCTTTACGATATGGCTGTGTTAAATAAAGATAATATCATTCTTCAAATAGGCACAATTAATGAATTCAAAGTAAGAAATACACACATGAATTCAAAGGCCTAGTTAGAATTTTCTTTTGATAATAACTGCTTTGCACTACAAGGCAAGCCATACTTTACATCCGTTTTATACGAGCTTAAGTTAAGATAAATAAACTTAAGGATAACTTTAAAAGGTTGGTTTTTTTGTTTGCTTGTTTGTTGTTTTTTTGTTTGTTTGTTTTTAAACCAAGGATGGGGTGCCATCAGTCAGAAGAAATGGGAAGATAAACAATGAAGAGACATTTTTTCTTTAGCGTAAGGGGGCTCTTGAAGGTTCTTATCGAGGAGACTCATGGACATGAGACAACATATATTCATGCATTTCCCTTGGAAACCCAAGGATTGGAAGGACAAGAAAACAACATAGCGCTGGACACACCCTGATTCTGGAGTAAAGGTGCTCCTTAACTTCACAGGACATAGAAGTAAGGCACATTTATTGCCTCTCACTGAATTTGCCATGTGATAATAGGCGCTACTGTTGTTTCATAGAGTGTGATACAAGACTCCCAGTGTTTGGTGAGAAAACACCAAACAAACTCACAGCCTGGAGCTATACATCAGAAACAGCTGGTAACACACATTTCCAGTCTTCAATTCTTTTTGACAATTGATTATTTTATTAAAAATGTACAAAGTGATGCTAAAAGGCTTCTTTTCTTTCTCAGGTGTCAATGAAAGTCAAATGAGCACGTAACAATTTTTAAAGCTTCATATCTTCTTTCAAGAGTATGCAATAGGCTTGTTATCTAAAAATAGGCTTCTGAGTGCATTTTATTTGAATGAATTCAGTGCTTCTTGTCAAGGACTCAAGTGTTGTATGCAGCCCCAGTGACCAGGTCCAGCCTTTCCTTATGCACTCTCTCGCTTTTTGTATTCTGAATCACACTAGATTGTCCTGACTTCCATTTTAATGTTCTCATTTATTTTTATGCCTCCCAGCACAGCAGGCAGTTCACAGCATACAGATATTATAAGCTGACTTCCAGGATCTGCTATTTGCCAGTTCTCTATATGAAACCAAAACAATTTTCAAGTATTTGGCAGCAGTAATTTTTTTTTTTCATACTAGATAACCTAGTACTGAGTTGTTCCCTTCCTGTGCTGTGAGTTCACTAGTTGTAGTGACAACAGAACTCTCCAGTAGGCTGAGGAGGGGCTTATCCATGGAAGTAGATAGCTTCTTCATAGACAAGAACACATAGCAGTAAAATAACTTGGCTATTTCCACTATTTGAGATTATGCGGGTGTTGGAGATTTCAGTATAGCAAATTGAGAGCTTCATTTTAGAAAACAGTGTAAAAGTCTTCCATTAGAGATGTTTTATATATTATTTTTGTTTTTGTAGTCAGTAAATCATTTTTATCAACCTCTACAATCTGAATCACTAGCATATAACCTCCATACAAGAATAGAAATGATCAGATCTTACATTTTGAATAGTATCTTTTTAATACGTTCACTCCTTAAACTTTTCATTATTTGAGCTTATGACTACTAGCAGCGCTTTTGCTTCCTAAAGTTCTCAGAGGAAGACTGGAATAAAAGCTGTGAAGACAAAACAAAACAAAAATAATCATAGCACAAAATATCTGTCACCTTTGCATACAGCTGTTGTATAGATGGGAACTTAATCAGTGAAACAATCATTTTGAAAACACTATTTAAATTATTATTTCTGTTAATGTAAGAACAATTTGTGTTTTGACTTATTTTACCTGTACTTTGCAGGAAGTCATAGGAAGAGAATGCATAGCAGGCTCGCAATTTTCAATCCACACTAGAATTCAAAAGAATGAATAAATAAAAAAATTCAAAATAAGCTGTTCCATTTTACTCCTGAAATAGTGATATGTGGGAGAAAGCTTTTACAGTAAGAGTATGTCTTACATACTGAATAGCAGCTGGTAGGGACCGATTTAGAAGACTTTCTTGTGAATGCTATGCTGAATAAAGTGTGGAAGTTGAGCTGCTGTTAAATGCAGATGAGGGTCAGAGATCACAATCTCCAGAAACCATTGTTTGCAATATTATTAGTGAAAGAAGAATGGAGATAAATGCTCTTAGTAGCCTTGAGATTAAAACCAATCTTGAATGGAGTAAGGCTAGTTTGCTAATGAAATTTCTTTCAGAGCTCAATGTTGAATTTGCAAACCCAAAAACTATCTTGCTTCTGCAGATACTGAATTGCGTGGAAAACAAATAAGAATTAAGCATAAGTTTGGGAACTAAGTACCACTGCAACCAAAGCCCACATGCTTCTCACTCATTATATGCATAATAACGATCCAATGATCCAAGGGATATAACACCTTCCCCCTGCAAGGACAGACTGAGAGACTTGGGGCAGTTCAGCAAGGAGAAGAGAATGCTCCCATCTTCAAGGTGTCTACAAAGTGTCGCTCAATGGTACCACAAACTGATCTGCACAATTGGTGTTAACACAGCCCTTTCTTCCCACTTAGCAACAAACCTGTTCAAAGGCACAAACACTTGTGCAAGGTAGAGATGTTCTGGATTGGATCAGGGCATATGCTTTTTACTGTTTACAGACGTAGTTTTCTGTACTTAGGCCTTTTCCACTTGCTCATACATTTGCCCCTTACTCACTCTTCCTTTGATGCTGTTACTCCACTAAAAGATAGTCAAAGATCATAACCTTCCATTACATAGATCCCCATTCTCTGTGATTCTTATGCATGTGAATTTGTATCACTCAATTGATGAAAACAACATCTCTTGGCAGGGTGGGGCGGGGGTAGTATTTCATACAACTTTAACTGAAATAAAAATAAAGTATGCACTAAGGACAAGTAGATGCTTGGAAGTTGAAAGAAAGACGTAAGATGAATGGGATCTCCTTTTTTTCCTCCAGTTACCCAGTAACCTAAGTGTACAATGGAAACACAACCTTAAATTCAATTCCACGTTTAAGACATTAATACAAAGGAATTGGTGTTTAAGTAGTCTTTGACTTCACAATAAATGAAATAAAGTATCAGCCAGGTTATAACAAAACAAATGGATATCTTCAAAACACTGTAGAACTAACTGCAAGAAGTTCAGGTAAACCCTTAGTTAATTGCTTTGCAAGTTCAACATAGCCATTCATATTGGAACACACAAAGAACACTAAGAAAATAAATGTAAACATTCAGAGCACAGAAAATAGGGAAACATGCAGTTCAGGCTAAGCAGAGGAGTGACACATCATTTTTTAAGTAACACTATCATAAGAAACACAACCTATAGCTTGGATCTATAAGAAGAGTTAGGTGTTATGTACAATCATTGCAGCTTTCTGTAGTCAACCGATTCCTAACCTGGAAAATAAAAAAAATCAAGTTCAGCACCTTTCTGGGGAAACAGCTTTTTTTTTGGGGGGGGGGGGGGGGGGG